CTTCTGTCCTGTTATCCTCTCTAGTTGTGCTTGAACACATTTTCCTGGGTGGAGATGTTTAGAGAGCTGGCCAATCTTAAAATCCCTCCTCTTTGATAGAGAGGACACCTCTAGGTTCAATCTATATTTTACGTTTCTGAAGACATTTTGCAGTTGTGCTCTTATTACAATGTTCTTGAATCTATTGCCAGTGTGTGATACACTATTTACACCCAAGTTTTAGGTAGCTGTGGAAGCTTTTTAGGATCTTTTCTATCTCTGAGGTTCTGAAATTTTGTTTTTTTTTTTTTTTTTTTGAGACGGAGTCTCGCTCTGTCGCCCAGGCTGGAGTGCGGTGGCGCAATCTCCACTCACTGCAAGCTCCGCCTCCCGGGTTCACGCCATTCTCCTGCCTCAGCCTCCCGTGTGGATGGGACTACAGGCGCCCGCCACCTCGCCCGGCTAATTTTTGTATTTTTAGTAGAGACGGGGTTTCACCGTGTTAGCCAGGATGGTCTCGATCTCCTGACCTCGTGATCCGCCCATCTCGGCCTCCCAAAGTGCTGAGATTACAGGCATGAGCCACCGCGCCCGGTCGAGGTTCTGAAATTTTATAACAACAGCTTGGTGGGAGCCAGGCACAGTGGCTCATGCCCGTAATCCCAGCACTTTGGGAGGCTGTGATGGGTGGATCACAAGGACAGGAGTTCGAGACACGTCTGGCCAATACGGTGAAACCCCATCTCTACTGAAAATACAAAAACTAACGAGGAGTGGTGGTGTGCGCCTGTAGTCCCAACTACTTGGGAGACTGAGGCAGGAGAATCACTTGAACCGAGGAGGCGGAGGTTGCAGTGAGCCCAGATTACTCCACTGCACTCCAGCCTGGACAATAGAGTGAGACTCCATCTCAAAAAAAAAAACAAAACAAAAAAAACAGTCACAGCTTGGTGGGGATCTTCTCATTTTATTGAGGCTACTAAACCTGCAGACTCTCTCCTCTTGAGAATTTTTTTATGTTCCGTTACTTTTTTATCGATAGTCTTGTTATTCAGATGCTAGGCTGCTTAGACCACTATACAGACATTGGTTTTTAATTTTTCCCCTTCTATTTTTTTCAGTTTGTCTTTTTATTCCACTTCTGGGATATTCTGTGATTTTATCCTCTACATTTTTATTGAATTTTATATTTTTGAGAGTATTTTAAGATTTTTTTTAAAGTTTTTCTCCTGATTTTGACTGGTCTCATGAATTCCTTTTTTCTGTTGTTTTGATCTCTTCTGTTGGAGGCTTCCCTCCAATGTGTGGTGGTCCCTGGTCTGCTTTATTTGGAAGCAGGACTTTCTGTTAACTGATAGTGCTCAGTGTGAGGTTTTTCTGGCTCAGAGATACCATGGCCTAAACCTGGGATATGTGGTTTGGGATGGGAATTGTGTTGAATTTGTGATTGCTTTTGGCAGTATGGTCCTTTTCACAATATTCATTCTACCGATTCATGAGCATGGGATGTCTTTCCATTTGTTTGTGTCCATGATTTCATTCAACTATGGTTTGTAGTTCGAAGGGCATATCAAAAAAATAATCCAACCTGGCGCGGTAGCTCCCGCCTGTAATCCCAGCACTTTCGGAGGGCGAGGCAGGTGGATCAGGACGTCAGGAGTTTAAGACTAGCCTGGCCAACATGGTGAAACCCTGTCTCTACTAAAAATACAAAAATTAGCTGGGTATGGTGGTGCGTGCCTGTAATCACAGCTACTCAGGAGGCTGAGGCAGGAGAATCGCTTGAACCTGGGAGGTGGAGGTTGCAGTGAGTCAAGATTACACCACTGCACATTCCAGCCTGGGTGACAGAGCAAGACTCCATCTCAAAATAATAATAATAATAATAATAATAATAATCCACCATGATCAAATGGGTTTCATACCAGGGATGCAGGGATGGATTAACATACACAAGTCAATGAATGTGATATACCACATAAACAGAATTAAAAACAAAAAATCACATGATCATCTCAACAGACATAGAAAAAGCATTTGACAGAATGCAGCATCCTTCTATGATTAAAACCCTCAGCAAGATCAGCATACAAGGGTCATACCTCAATGTAATAGCCATCCATGACAAACCCACAGGCAACATAATACTGAATGGGGAAAATTTGAAAGCATTCCCCCTGAGAACTGGAACAAGACAAGGATGCCCACTCTCACCACTTATTTTTTTATTTTATTGTATTTTATTTTTACAAACATAGACGTTACTAAATGCTGCTCAATCCCCCAGTGAAGATCTTTCATTACAAAACAATTTTCCACACAACTGCAAGAGATTGGAATGGTACTCTGATAACAAAAGATGTGAGAAATACTTCAAGTAAAAACATAAAAGACCTCTGTACAGTCAACCTTTTCAGAGCTCTACAGAGGAAGCCTACTGCATTTCCTTTAAATAAAGCCAGGCAGTGACAACTAGTGCTCTGTATCACCACACTGTGGGACTCTCAAAGCCTCCATCCCTAGGTCAGGAGGGACTAGGTGAAGGGCAGGTCATGAGGACTGGAAAGGCCCTGCCTTCAGCCTTTGAGAGGAGGAGGAGGAATGAGTTGAGAGGCAAGCTGGGTAATTCACCTGAGCTGCCTCTACCCATCCGTTACCACTCTGGGGAATTGCAGAGGAAGGGGGATATTCATGAGGCACAATCTGAAGAATTTTGGTTTACTTTCCCAGCTTTTATTTATATTTTGTGCTTTAAAAAGCCTGGAGATTTAAGGTTTTGTCTAAATTCCAGAGTACAGTAATATATTTCTTGAGGAAGGGGTTAGGGCAGGTAATTCCCCCCATCATATTTCTGGGTGAGACAAAGAGAAGGGTAAGGATGATACCTTAGTTTTATTTTAGGAAGGATTCTTTTTCTTAGGATGTAACTAAGGTTTGCAGCAGTCACTCTCACCACTTCTATTCAACATAGTACTGGAAGGCCTAGTCAGAGCAATCACACAAGACAAAGCAATAAAAGGCATCCAGATCGGTAAAGAGGAAGTCAGACTGTTGCTGTTTGCTGATGATATGATCATATACCTAGGAAACCCTAATGAGTCTTCCCTAAAGCTCCTGGAACTGTTAAATGAAGTCAGGAAAGTTTCAGGAGACAAAATTAATGTACACAAATCAGTAGCTGTGTTATACCCCAACAGCAGCCAAGCTTAGAATCAAACCAAGAACTCAACCCCTTTTATGATAGCTGCAAAAATAAAATAAAATAAAATACTTAGGAATAGACCTAACCACGGAGGTGAAAGACCTCTACAAGGAAAACAACATTAGTATTTTTAATGGGTTAAAATGAGAGGCAGCAGGTACAGTGGAAGAAATCAGTGGGTGGGCTGCGGTGTCCAACAGGTACTGGACCTTTGATGGTAAGGCTTTTTTTTTTTTTTACTTACTAAGTTACTAGGTACTATTATTTTCTAGTTTTTGTCATTAAACCTTAAAACTACTAAGTAACCCCTTCCATTTATTGTTAAAGAGCGTAAAATTTCATACTCTAATTTATGCTGACTGACGTTATTTGTTTCTATTTTGTGACTACCTTAAATAATACCTATAAATAGTAAACTGTTAGTAATGTTTTTGCTGTAATTGAATGTAGTAAGATTTATCTTCCAAATGATAACCAAATTGTCAAACACTTGTCAAAGTTTTGGATTTACTCAAAATTCTATGCTCAGCAGCTGGAGATAGGAAGACTAGGGGCCCTCCCGTACTCTTATGGAGAGGCGTACTTTCTCATGAGGGGAATACTCTGCAAGAATTCGTATCTTGTTAGCAGTGGTGACTTCAACTAACTAGTGTACAAAAAGACATGTATTGGTGTGGCTGCCAACAAAGAGATCCAAGAGGGTCTCCAAGATGGAGTCGAGCTTGCTGAAACAAGGAAAGAGAAAAGCAGTATTCTAGGCAGAGAGCAGGGCTAGAGCAGGAAAATGGCTAGGTGCAGGTCAGATGATTTATAGAA